CGGATAATATGAAACAAATTTATTGAAATATACCTGGATTTTTCTCAGAGTAAATTTACATAATATTAATGAATGATGATTTTATGCAAACTTTACAGAGTGAATAATCATGGCTTTCATTTGGTTTCGGACACTTTTAATTTTTCAATTTTATTTGCAAATATCAGTTAGTAAGTATTAGCGATATTAATATTAGAATACTATACATATTAACGAAATGACTTTATTTTTCTTTTACGTATACTATTTATCATCTTTTATGAAACCTTCTTGTTTCAAAAATTTTATTCCAAATTTTTTGTGGTTAAAACAGAGAATTCTATCAAACCTTTCTAAAAATCGACTGATGTATTCAGACACTTTAAACAAACAGTTTATTTTTTATAAAAAGTAACTTTTATAAATTATATAACGATAAATTTAATATAATGTGGACACTATACGACTTCCTTGTACAGCCCATTAAATTGCACACCATATTTTACTTCCTTTCCATTAAACTTATTTCCTCGAATTTCAATAGAGATATACTTCTCATTCAATTAATACAGTTCTCACGTCACGACAGGGCAAAAATACATAAATATCAAACCATCTTTATTAAAAATTGTAAAATACAGGAAAACATAAAACACCAAATACTGTTAAAAGCAATTAAATAAAAAACTTTTACAAATAAAATTAAAGTTTCTTTGCAATAAGAAGCAATACCGCCAGCGGTCAGGAAGGTGCACAAGATTGAAATTTCATTTCCGGTCCCGCTCGACAAGACTCGACAAGTTGGTGCATAAACGTAATTCACTATTCTATGAAATGTAAACAAATAGCGGCGTCGTTAGTCTTAGTACCATTCAAACAGCTTTTAAATTGTTTATAATTCTACAACTATTGCATGCAAATTGATTAAAGCATAAAAGCCTTAACACGAACATAAGAACAACATAATTCAGTCACTTTTAAAGCAAAAGAAGCAAGTTACCAATATATAAGAATAAAACAAATGAGCTCACCGAGCCGGGTAACAGAGTGCGTATGTATGCATATATATTTCGTGAGGCCGATTGCAACCAAAACGTGGAGAGCACAACTACATGTTATAGCAGTCCCATATACAAAAGCTCAACGTTCTCAGACTACTCGTTTTTGAGTTATGTGAGATATCAGTACGTACAGACGTCACGAATTTTTTTTTTTTTCTTCAGAATCCATTTTAAATCCATTTTTAATTCGTTTCCTAAATAAGAAACCTTTATTTTGTCCGTACGTATAGATGTGAAGCAAAAATATAATTCAGGTGAATTCGAGAGCGATGAAAATGGGTATTTTCGTTGAAATATGATACCCAAAAGTTTTCGCAATTAAAGTATTCCTTTGCATTGTACAAGATAGTAAAAATGTACTTTCCCCCCTCGCGTGGAATGAAAGGGAAATTGAAATAGGTTACTATAAACTGAATTCACCAAAGTGAATTATTTTTGGCACCAATGGAAAAAAAATGCGCCAAATTACATTTGTGAATTACTGACAAAATTTTGAAATTTAATTAAATAAAGTTTAAAATTAAAAACCAAACTTTAGTTTAATTTGAGTCGTAGAATCGAAATATGAAAAAAATCTGTTGTGTACACCATGTGACATCCTTGTACGGAATATTAAATTATACGGACTTTTTCCTGCGTTTCATTTAAACTTATTGAATTGAATAACGTCTACTTCGTCGATAGCATATAAACCACAATAGAATAAATGCACTTTTTGAAATTCACTATTTAGTATTTACCGTAGCGATACTCTGGCGCTAGGTTCACGTAACAGCGTTATATATATTTACAGCCGGTACAATCAACGTCAAATAATTTTAATTTATTTGATAACTGTCCCCTCCACACAAATTCAAAATTACCTCAAATCTCGCAAATTTTGAAATTGAACATCTCAGTCAACTTTTATCATTTGGGACTCAAACCTTTTGGTTTTTATTTTTGCTTCCATGTATGAAATAAAAAGAAAGTATTATAATCGCCAAAATCTTCGGTTATCAGATTTCAATGACCATTTCCCGAATACACTTTTACTATTTTTTTTTCTTGATTTCTGTATGTACGGACAGAATAAAGGATTATTTATTGCAAAATGAATTGTAAAATGGACTTTTTCGCGACATCTGTACGCAATTACGTACGTATGTATCTCGCATAACTCAAAAAATATTAATTCCAAAAAGATTTCAAAACGTTGAAATTTTGTATATGGGACTACTATAATACCTAATTTTGCACCTCCCTTTATATATATGTATAATATATACATACACATAAATGTGTAAATGTTTATCTGATATATATATATGTGTGTGTGTGTGTATGTGTGTATAGCCACTCCCATTACCCGACTTAAAAGACCTTACCCGGCCTTTATTTTTGCAGGCACTGGTTGTAGTCGTATACTTCCAATTACAGAAGAGTTTTAAATAACAAAAATATTCATATTCTGGCAATGTCAAGTTAAAATGAAAATTATCCCGAACAAATAGCGGAATCAAACTTTTAACGCGATCTATACTTATATTTGAGAGTTCTATACTCGTAATGAAAAAATAAAAATTTAAAAAGTTTTACTTTCGTACGACAAAAATTAACCGAGGTATTTATATAATTTCAAAATCTGCAGTTTTTGATGTCATTTTCGACTGGCCTTGAGGAATCGGTTAAAGTTCACGTAACTCGAGGATATAAAGGAAGCGCAATAAAAATTATGTATTATGTAAATAGGCTGTATAAAAAAAGTTATGGTGCCCACATCAGATTTTCCAAAACGAGTGCAAAACTTATCTAAATATAATTACAGACAATGAGGGAACTTGTAAAACATTAGAGTAATTATTTTACATAAAATATTTTTTTTTCTATCTAGAAAATGCAAAAACATAAATCGCTGCGTCATTTAAAACATTTTTGTAATGAAAATATATGTCTGCTACCAACGGTTATGTATACCCGTATAAAGGCCGTGTAAGGACTTTTGTGGATACGGTGCATAGATATTTCATTTGTAATATATGTAATACAATCCCTAATTATGAATTATATATCTCACTAAAATATGAAACATATGTCTCTCTGAATTATTAATACTCATTTTGCCTTCCATTGTTTTAATTTTTAAGCAAAAATAGATAAAAAATTTGCAGTGATTTCCACGCATGGATCCATTTAACTTCTCAAAGAGCACGACACCAACCAACCAACGAGATAAAAAATTTAATTACTAAAATGGAACATAATGCTATCAGCTGATTAACTAACCCCCCTCAACTTTTAAAAACATTTTCACAGAAAGAAACGTAATTTGAAATATTATTAATCTACCACTTGCTAGATGACTATGCCCTTAATCTTGAAAGCACACACTAGAAAAGCAACAATTACTTATCAATGTAAGAAAGGAATTATCCCTTTCTAATATGTTCATCTTCCCCATAGTCGTATTTTACTAGCCTAATTTAAAAGAAATGTCACTCTTGATGACATATGCATAACAGAATGAAAAATCATTTATTACTAGCCACAATAAATAAGTCAGAGTTTTTTAATTCCTGCCGTGATTTAAAAAAATGCAGACTTATTTTTTAAACTTCAAAAATTATTTTCATTTATTTTTCTGAAGCTTAAAATGAGAGTTTTAAATTCACGTTCTCGAAGACATTATTGGAATGTATAAAAGGGTGACTAGGGAGACGCACGAAACCAGTCAACCATATCCAGCTGGTGACAAGTTTTCATTCACCACTGTAGATATTATTAGAGTTTATTTTATTTTTTCTTCGAGCACGAAATCGAAAATTTCGGTTACAAATGAAAACACTGCGGACAAAAACATCGCGTATGAAACAACGCAAAAGGAAAATGTCATGGTATAAAACATCGTAAAAGAAATTAAGTAAATGAAAACATCCTGATAGAAAATAAAGCCGTGAAAAAATTTCCAGTTTCATGGTGAAAAAATTAAATCATCTACGAGTGATCGCATAATGACTAATTTTTACTCATTTCCAGATTTTTTCTTGTTTTTTAAGTTTATATAAAAAGTTTTTATTAGTTCATATAAAAAATTTGAATATAGGGGTAGAATATCTTCAATCTTAGATGTTGCTAATATCTTCTTGTGCTCAAAAATTACTACCCGAAAATTCAGTTAGAATTTATTTATCCAGAAAACGCATGTGTACATGTTATCTTCATGCGACGATTTGTAAGTGCTTTAATTTTTACCATGGTACCTAAATGTTTTTATTATTATTATTATTATTATTGCGAATTTTTTACCCCACTTTATTTTCTATTAGAAGTTTCCCAGTTTTAGAACTTCTATGCTTTTTTTTTACTTTTATTTCTCCCATGATGTTTTGTACGACATGGTTTTTCTCTTGCTGACTGGCTTTATCAGGTCATGAGATTTTTATCACTTGATATATATTAGCTTATAATTTAAGACATTTTGCTTTCTTCCTTTCTTTAACAATGTAAATGTCATCTTAATTAATGTAACCCTATGAAAATAGAAAGTAATTACACAAATTTAGCTAATAAATGCTGTTATTCATAAACCCGCATCTCCCAGAGAGCTAAACAAAACACTTACACCACTACAGCACATATGGGACAGTGCTATAATTATTTACTTCGAATGCAATGATTTTAGATAAAGTAAGCAATTATATTACTTATTTTATCTGAAATCGCTGTAATTTAAAAGCCTAGCCTTTTTTCAATGGCCGCTAATATTAATTCCGTATTATTTTATACATGAGATAGTTTTCATTGCGGAAGATTTAAATGATTGCTCTATCCACTTTACTGCTAGCAAAGTGGGAAAATCTGTCCACTTTGCTATGAACGTTGCCTCTTAAATGCTTTAAAACCTCTTTTCCAATCCATAATCTATCTGTGCGAAGTGAGTGATTAACGAAGAGTGATGGGTTTGTCATTTCTTCCTTCCAGCACCATCCAGACCACGTGAAAGGCCTGATCCTCCTCGGCGACATCTACATCAATGCTGTGAAAGACCTGGATGCCGCACAAGAGGTGGGTACTTTTCCTTTCCCCCTACCACACACCAGCGCCTAGATAATCCGATAATTCACCCCATCTTAAGCAAAGGCGTCAATCTCCATTAACGTCTTAAGTATAGCCCAACATAAAGTAAGAGCTCCCGAAGTATGCTCTCATTAATTTAATTGTCTTTTCTTCATCTGGCTTCTTGATTACAACTTCGGTTCTCTGATGTGTGTTCTTCAAATAAGCTCGGCATGATTTGGTTTGTTAGGACGTTTTTTCGTTATTTAAAGTAATATCATTAGATTATTTGAGTTGTCTTATGTACGTCTTATGTTACGTGTCTGTGTACGTTAATCAAGATGCATTCGAAGTCAAGTTATTTGCACAGGAAAACAAATAACGTTCTTTAACAGTTTGCTCTCGTCTTTATCTCTAACATGTGTACTCGATTAAACTCGATATTTTCCTCAAACGTATGCTAATTATACACGTTTATATGAAATGAACAATAAAAGTGCTGTTATGATATCATTTCATCCATTTTGACGTGTGGAATCATAAAGATTAGTATTAATGTATTGCTGAATATTGTACTTTTTCAATTTTTTATTTTGTTTCTTGAGATATTTTTCAAAATGTTGTGTGCTGTGACTTATTAAGAAGAAATATTCAAAGCTTTTAATTTTTATATTTGAACACATAAAAAATCGTTTCTGTTTATTTCTCATAAAAATCAAACCGTCCATAATTTTTTTCCCAGTTTTGAATAACCGTTCATCTATCTGATACAAAAATTATGCTAATAAACATCTTCGTGCATTCTTCGTTATGTTAAACAAAGCATGATGAATAATTTCACATTTTTTTATTATTTTATTATAATATTATTTCTCATCTTCAGCAGCCAAAAAAAGTATGTGTTTCCCTTTCTAGCCCCTCTGGGATATTCGTTTGATTTGAAAAATCTACACTATTACTTCAGTCTGTTTAATAAATAATCATATTTTTATTATTCTGTATAAATTAGCAAAAATCTTTGCTAAGCGAACATCTTCAGGTTAAAATGTAAATTCAACAGATATTCTATCTTTAATTCACAACTATTAAAATAACCGCAATTTAGCAACAAGTTTTTTAATGCACGCCATGTCCAGATGGAAAGTATATAAAATTATAGCATTAAAATCAAAAATATTTAATATTAATTTCGGTTTGCTTCATCGGAGAGGAAATGTTTTCAAGCTTGACTATGCAAGGGCCCCAAATGTTCTCGCTCAAGCCTCAAGCAATGTTAGTGACTTCAAACAATCTCAGTAATTACCTTAATGTAGCAGGCGATGAACCTGTTTTACTAGCCAAATTTAAATGTGCTACAGTTGATAGAATGCAACATAGCACACACCTCCGTAACCGAAGTAGAAAAGGACTGGTTTGTGGAATTACGAATATATCGTAAGGCTTTCAAATTTCTCTAGAAGCATACGTTTTTAATTTAACGAATTTTTTGTTGTAGATTTATGACTAGATACTAGATTCAGGTCAATAATTTTCAGCATCTGAAAGCCCATATAAAGGATGTTGTGGATTGATTATTATGTGGATGTTTGTCTTGGCATCGGTATTGCCCTAAGTCGAGAAATTCATTGGCAAATTGCTGTGAATATTAAATGTGTTGTCACTATTAAAAATTTAAACGCAATTCTTAAAAATAAATCTCCAATGAGTAATGTGTTTTGGTTACAGAGCTAGGGAGGTTTGCGTTTTTGGCTTAACTTTGTCCACGGAGGAGAAATGAATTCGATGAACGAGTACTCTTTTAAAAACTCAAAACAGTATTCTGGCATAAAATTCTGCCGGCCTGAGCACAATCCAATTGCAGCAGACCTTATGAATTACTTAAACTCAGGAGAAAAAGCACTGGAAGTAACGCCTGCCCAGAAAGTTCTCAGATCTCAGCTAGGAACCCGATTCGCGATGCTTCTCCCCTTCCTCACCTAAAGGTACTACTCATCGAGTAGTACCTTTAGGTGGATTTGAGTAAACAATTGTGGCAAATTTGAGCAAAAAAATTGTAATCCAGGGAAGCAAAAATGGTAATTTTTCTTTATAAATTAAATTAACGAAACTTTTTTTCCAACGTCAGATTTAATTATTTAATGCTTTCTCTCGAGGCGCTCGGAATTGCAATAATATAAGTATATATGTAAAATACATAGGTATATAAAATGAACGTAAGCAATGTATCCAATACAAGTTTTGATAATAAAAAACAGATATTCAAATGAAGAAAGACAGGCTACGTCTGTGCAAAAACCATGAAGTTAAAAATTAACTACATCCTAAATCTTTGGGGTCCACCAGCGGTCGAGCGGTAAAGCCTCTGAACACTAGTAGATCGGCGAACACTCTAGCTGCATAGGCGTTTTCGTGTTTTTCTCCATGTGTAAAGTGTACAATAGATAGTTTCCCTTAGAAAGTCCTCCACGAAGGCAACTGTTCCCTTAGGCAGAGACCCGTCAAGAACTTTGCCGTAATCAAACCAACCAATCTAATCCTTTGCGATTCAAAAAATCAAGGAAAATCAAGGTCTTTAAGTAAAGAATTCAGCTTAGTGCAACTGTAGATCGTTATCTTTATAATGGATGGCTGTATCTTTACACAGGTGGTTTTAAGCTTAGCATAGAGGGTAAAGACAATACTGGTATTTTCAGCTCTCTTTTCTTACATTATTTACTTCTTGATTTTCAAAGTACAGCCTTTGATGATGAGGTTGAATCCATTCTGCCATTATCTGTCATATCTGAAACATGGCACTTCTATATTTTTGCGGTTTTGCAGCTGAAGATGTTGGTTCGGTAAAACCATCGAAACTAGTCCTGTGAAAATTTTGCAAATTAACGCTGATTTTTGTTGTTTGACTTCTGAATTAGTATTTATTCGGCGTGTTATTTGTGTCTTAATTATTGTGTCTTAACTTCTATATTTCTTAACTGCTGTTGTTTTTTAGATTCATCAGCTGCCTTAAAATGCATAACCTATCAAGATAAACAAGCCTCACGATTTAAAGTTCAAGAACGCCTATCATTACTCATATTCTTATATGATTTCTAACAGAGAATCTTTCTATAATGGATGAGATGCTTGAAATGACGTAGTGGATGATTTATCTTTCCAGTAAACTTTTAAAACAGTTTGTAAAATCATGGATAACAAAAATAGAACTTTCTTTTATTTTTAATCTCTATAATTGCATTAAAACAAACTTTGAAGCACGGATTTTAACGATTTACCAGATTTGTTGCGTGGCATCTCTGCAATTCTTCTGTCATCACAGATGATGATCACTTCCTTCTTTGTTCTTCTCCGAAAGAAAATTCTGCTTTTAAATGTTATGGAGAAGCTTAGGGTCGTTTTTCCTTCATATTATTTTTAACATATATTCTTCTTAATTTAGACTTTTGATGCCTCAGTTCTAGTTCGGCTATTAAATTCTATTTGTATGTTTATACACTGTATTTTATTTGTATCTTACCGCCTAAGGACAAGTTTCCAAAGGCATTTTGTTTATCGGAAATTTTTAAAAAATAGGTAAATAAAGCAATGTAAAGCCTGTGAGTCATGAAAAATATTAAAATTAAGGCGATATAATTTGCTGTGGCTGCGGGCTTTCACTCAACGTTCGATCGCCAATGTAAACTATCGTCTTGTTTTAAATCAGAGAGGAGTCTATGAAATTTTGCAATTAAAAAGGCACTGTTTAGTTAAAATATTAATTATGATTTTAGAACAAGGGAGCTTAAACTTTCCTTTCATGTGCCTATTATATATTTATATATAATTCTGTTCCTAATGTTAAGGATAAATTGCATAACTTTTGAGGACTAATTTTGAAGGTTAAATGCAATCTTCTTTTGTAGCTTCAGGAGTGAAATAATGAACGAGAAGTATGTGCTCATGCAATAATAGAAAAAAATTCGGGAAAATTCCAGCTAAGAAGCGGACCAAAGCTTCTGCCGCCATCTGTTGGTAAAAATGAAAACAACTGCGAAATAATTTATTAAAGAAGGATTAGAATCAGGAGAATTAATTAAAACTGAAATATTTTTCTGAAAAGATCACATTTTCGATTACTCTGCAGTCGAAATTATTTCAAAAATATCTTTCGCTTGTGAATGAGGTTTCCTAGCGTGTTTCACAATTGTGAAAAAATTTTCAGTTCCAGTTAATTATCCTACTTCTAATCCGTCCTTATCTTCAGATTTTAAAGAATTTATTTCTTAGTTATTTTAATTGTTTTGTCGATAGATGGCGCCAATAGTTTTCTTTCTTTTCTTAGCTGGAACGAAAATTTTTATCTCTTGTTACTGCATTAGCACATGCTTCTCCTTTGTCATTTTCTCTTCTGCAGCTTAAGAAGTTTCTATATGGGCTTCCAGATCTGCAAATTTGTTTCTTGTTGCATTTGTATCTTCAATATTAGTTTTTCGGTGTATTATTTTAATTAATCTTATTCCTTTTCTTCCAGTGTTACAAAAGCATCCTTGTACAAGAACCGAACAATGTCCAGGCATTGCATAACTTGTGTGTGGTTCACGTAGAAAGAGGCCTCATGGCAGAAGCCGAATCTTGCCTGGAGAAGGCGTCTGCACTGGCACCGAACGAGTATTACGTCACACAACACCTCGAGATCGTTCGATCGAGGAGGCTACAAATTCTAAAGCGAAAAACCATCGTCCGCAGTCCCTACTCTAAGTCGAAAAGCCAGGACATTGACTCTAAGGAAGGTGATGAGGTAATCGTGAATTTGCCGACGTAGAATACCTAAATATCTTCTGTGTACCTTATGTCTGAAATCCCGCAATTTGTGCTTTGAAAGACATATGAATTACAAGCAAGTCAATGGATGTCATTAAACAGATGTAGATGAACTTTGCAAAGAATTATGAATGTGATTTCTTGAGTAATGTTCTGCCGATGTAAAAGAAACACCAGTTTAGTCCCATTTAGTGGCTATCGTTAAACAGCATTATCATTCTATCTGATAATTATACTTCCTTTATTTTATCAACAATGGAATTGGTCTTTTTTTCCATGAATTTCATTATTGTTAAGCTACCTACAGAAAATTCTATTCATATTTTACAGCAGCTTACATTCATATGAATGCAAAATATTGGATACAGTCAAGAATAATTCCCAGAACTGATTTTTATGTGCTTATAGATTCCTTGGTTCAGCTATACATGGCCGGTTTTGTTTATTCATTTTCTTTGGGAAAAGAATTATTAATAATTCTTAGAACATTCAAAACATTCATATGTGTTTTCTAAATCGCTCTCTACGTTTACTGCTGATTTTTGCTTTTAAATTGAAAAAATCTTTAAGAGCCTGAAAACTGTTCTGGTTACTTCATATTGGAAACATTTTTAAAGCTGTTTGTTATGTTTGTAAGAATATCTATACTCGATAATATATCGATAATTGTGTACAAGTTATATGTTCTAATAAAGCTCAAAGCTATAAGTTTTGTGTGTTTCTGAGCTATTCTCTTACAGTAAATTTGTCATTTAGCCTGTCATACAGTGAAGGTAATTTTAAACGAGACTCACTGATAAAAGTTGCTATATCAACAAAATCAGTAGAATCAAACATCCTTCAAAATCACATTCTGCAACAATATTAACCTGCAACTCTGGCTGCAATTTGCATAATTAACCAGACGCTTAGAAATAAAATCTATCCATGTAATATGAGTTTATTACAATCTAAGCGTAAAAGTATTTCACGAGATTATTCAAAATCATCAACCAGTGTCATATTTCATATTTCATAGTCATATTTCATAGTCTTCAAGCATTTTCACAGAGTTCACTGACCATTCGGAAAGAGTAGGTTTTAAAGTTTCGAACAGTTATGCTTTCTGAATGCGGAGCACTTCGGAAAAGAATCGAATAGAACAAAGACAAAAAAAAAATGTTTAAAAATAACAACTGTGGCTAAAAAATATGATATGAGGTAAAAATACATGTGAATGATAAAGCGATATTTTTCTGTAGTGTAAATGAAAGGAAAATTCAAATAGATTGCTATAAACTGAGAAGTTCACCAAGTGAATTATTTTGTGCAGAAGGGAAAAAAATGTGCCAAGATAATTTTTCGAATTATTGATTAAATTTTGAAATTTAATTAAATTTATAGTTAAATAAACTTTAAATAAAATTAAAAAGGAAATTTTAGTATAGTTTGAATTGTAGAATCGAAGTATGAAAAAAAATTGTGATGCCATTTCAGAAAAATCTGATTTTATGAAATTTTATTCTGATTTTATGATAAGTACAAATGTTAGAACAAAGCTATATATAAATCTAATATATGTCCTAAATCGGGATTTCGATACATGAGAAACGAAGTTGAATTTCGTCAACCGGCCGAGTACACAGATGGAAGATATATAAATACAGAACGTCTTTTTTTTTTCTTTTTAACTAAGCGTGCATAAGCGAAGCACTGCACATTGTACCATAAATAAATATTTTTCTGCTGTTGAGATAGATCACAAGTGATTTTGCAACATGCTCTAAGTCTCTAATCTTTATCTGCTGGTAATGGGTATCAGTTCATTCGCAAAGTTAGCCGATTTAATAGCATTTTTGTTTTTCCCAGTCGCAGTATACACTATCGCATAGCTAAGCCTGGGACACGCATATCATCTTCATACTTCTCAATAATCTCTTTCTTTCATCTCAGTGGAGATCCTAACAATTGTTTTTTAGTCCAAAGGGGCTTTTTCCCTGAAAGACTATTGTTTTCATTTTGCGATTTTGAGCTGAAAACTTTAAAAGGCTGTATCACTTTTCAAATCGTTGCCACCATTATTAATCTTAATTATTTTAATTAATCTTATTCCTTTTATTCCAGTGTTACAAGAGCATCCTTCTACAAGAACCGAACAATGTCCAGGCATTGCATAACTTGTGTGTGGTTCACGTAGAAAGAGGCCTCATGGCAGAAGCCGAATCTTCCAATTCCAATTGTATGGACTGACGGCAATCCAATTCTATGGACTGACTGCTTTTCTTTAAAAGCTATTTAAAGTCATGCTTGCTATAAGTTCTTTTATGCGTTTTATTTTTTTATTTCATTTCAATCATGCAAACAAAGTAAAATATTTAAAACTTATTTTTAAGAAGTTGTTAAATTACTTTAGATAAATTAACACTGTATCTTTATGAACCTAAAAATAAATATTTTTTAATCCTATTAAATCAGTATTATGCAGTCTTTGCGCATTCATGTCATTCAGCAACGTCGATTTCGTACCACCTTTTCTTCTCCTTATAGTGGACTGTGTAAAGCACATTTACGCTGTTTAATACCTAGATGACTATCCAACAGAATAATGAAAAGACACTTGTAATTAAATAATAATCTATTGCTGCTTCTTAATTCGCTTCACGTAAGTCACTACCTTACTAAAATGAACAAAAAACTCCATAGTCTTTCGCTTCTTAAAATTTGCCATTTTCAAAAAGGGAAAGAATTACATGATTGGAATTATAATAATTAAAAGAAAATTGAATTTTCACGTGCTCGAAATAAATTGGAGACAACTTTCATTAAGAAACTGGAATGTTTTTTAGCTTGTATAGGATAAATAATTAATTTAGTTTAAAGCATAAAACTGGAAAATACCAAAACGCATAAGGTACAATTTACTCAGATATGTATAGAAGAGTAATTGCTTACGTTATACAGACGTTTTGTTCTTTCTATTGCTTGAGTTATATGTGATATTTCAAAATTAAATCAGAGGCAAAGAAACATAAAATTTGCCTACCTAATTTCCTATGAGTTCTTTGCGACGTTCTGTGCTTTGCTCTAGGCGATCTTCATCTTTAATCTAAATTCTTCAAGGAACATTATTCCAAATAATCAATGCATCTCTCACACAAAACACATTTTAATGAATGGAGCATACATTAATGTTAGCTGTTGCATTGTATATATGCGATATTAAGAACGTCTCGGTGAAATCTTTAAATAATCAAGTACGATGCAGGATTCAAGTCTCAACGTTCCTATCGCGATCTCGAACTATGTGTCCTGTGAGTTCATAGTTCCAACATATCACTCTATCCTAATGACGTCACAGACGACGTCTTGAACCATCCTCCGCCCTGGATGGAAAACTGCTGAAATAGTCCTTAGTGCATTCTCGTTCCACTGGATACAGTAGCTGATAGTCTTTTAATCATATTTCCATTAAGGATACAAGCAGTACAGCTTTAGTCTTTTCGTCCCGGAAAACTTTCCGCTATGATACCCATTTTTCACATGAACTCTGGCATCTTATTTTCAAGTACTAATACAACAGTTCCTTCTTTAAAATAAATGTCGTCTTTTGCAAATATGGAATCAGGAACAGATTATAAGTTCATCAAATAATGTGTCCAATATTCCCACTGCAAATATTTGTTGATGTCTAAATCGATGTCTAAGACTGTCCTTTTGTTAAAGTCGATTTAGAACATTCTTGTACCAGTGCCAGTAACCGTCTTCCTATTAAAACCTGCGATGGAGTAAAACATTTTGGTTCCCCTTAATCCGAGTATACAAACGTCAAAGATCTAGAACACAATATAGTTTCCACTTCTATATTACGACTCTCTCTAATTCCCTGAATGTCAAGTAGGATTTGCCTAGGATGTTCTTCAACAGGTTTCAGAGACTTAGCTATGCGCTCTCAGAATACTTCTCATCAGCTGCTTATAAATTTCCATTTAACTCCTTGTTTAGAAAATTCGTCTAGAATTTTATTATCCTTCATCACCTGGATCCATAAACCTAATTCTGTTCAATAGTTTTCAGAAACTAAGCTATACGCTCTCAGAATCCTTCTCACAAGCTGCCCTCTCACTTATAAATTTCAATTTGACCCCTTGTTTTGAATTTTATTATCCTTCATCATCTGGATCCATAAATCTAATTCTATCCAAAAGTTGTCAGAGACTGAGCCATACACTTTCAGAATCTCCTTCTTCTTCTGCTCTCTCAATTATAAATTTCCATTTGCCCCCTTGTTTAGAGAATTCTTCATCTTGAATTTTTTTATCCTTCATCACCAGCGATATTTACGTTATACAACTTAAAGTACCATCACTGAAATATTATCAAAAAATTCTAGTTATCCTCGAAAGTCCTTCAGCAGTGAACTATTTGTGTTCAAATTCTGTATAATATTAATGCTTCGTATAAGTGTTAGTAGTGTTAACTGATTTATTGTGTCATTAGTGCATAAGATATTTCTCTCGCTTTCTTAGCGTGGCTTCGTGGTATAGTGGTCAGCACACTGAGCCGGTGTTTCAGAGGTCCGTGGTTCGATCCCGGCGAAGGCGTTGCTAATTTTTCACCATTCCTGCTTCCAAAAAAAAAAAAAAAAACCTAATGTCTCTACAGTTGCGCTCGAACTAAAAGGGTATTGATTAATAATTCTCCGCATACAGGATGATTTGGCGGTTGGGTCCTCTAAAAACTCCAGTCGCCCTTTAAAAAAGGGAGTATAAGGTATTTTCCCTTTTTTAAAGGGAAATACCTTATATACTCCCTTCCTAGCGTGCCTTCGTGGTGTAGTGTTTATGCACCCTGGGCCGGTATTTCAGAGGTCCATGGTTCGATTCCCGGCGAAGGCGTTTGCTTATTTTTCATCTCTGCGGCTTTTCCAATTAACCTAATGACTCTACAATGGCGCGCGAACTAAAAGGGTTTGGATTAGGATTCTCCATTTGGATGAGGATTCTCCACACCCAGGATTTGAGGACTGTGTCCCTAAAAACCCCTGTCGCCGTTTAATAAGGGGAGTATATAAGGTATTTCTCCCGCTTTTCTAGCGTGCTTTGGTGGTGCAGTGGTCAGCACACTGAGCCGATATTGCAGAGGTCCGTGGTTCGATTCTCGGTGAAGGCGTTGCTAATTTTTCATCTTTCCTGCTTCTAAAAAAATCCTAATGTCTCTACAACTGAAATATCAGTGTTAGTAAATTATTATTTCATTAGTAAAATATCAGTGCCAGTAAATATTTATTCATTAGTAAAATATCACTGTTAGTAAATTATTATTTCATTAGTAAAATATCAGTGTCAGTAAATTATTATTCGTTAGTGAAAGCTTTCACCAGTGAATTAGTTGGGCTTCCATCTAGTGATTTATGAGTATTCAATATTAGTGTTACTAGTGTTATATATTTCATAGTGTCGCTAGTAAATAATGGTGACATTTATAGTCATCACAAAATCTTACAGTCTCTTCATCAAAAGCAAAAAAAAAAAAGTTTTTTTTTTTTTTTTTTTTTTTTTTTTTTTTTTTGTGCTGATGGAGAGGGATTTGTACATGAACACCCTCGAAACTGATTAAGGTTTGATTAAAATCTACGCAAAGCATAAGGTTGATGTTTTGCCTAAACTTAAGTGTTACATTTTATTTAACAGATATAAAAATGAAGTGAAGTGGCTACCACCTCACTAAGACGAG